CCGTTTTCCATTTTCTGATAAAAGAGCAAACATCAGTCCACAACTTAATTTGATTCATGTTATCTACATAGATATGGCTTTTAATCTATGTTTCATTCTCATTTATTCATCTCTGAGATTTCCCTCCTATCTCAGTGACGGAGACTGCGAATTGTCTATAGAAATGTGGGAAATCACATAGGGTGCATGGAGCCAACTGTTTCAGCTGCATAACCCCACCACCTTTCTGTGAATGATCATATCCACTCATCGTATGAGCTTTCCCTTTGGCCTCTGTTAGACGAGGTTCATTGCCATTTTAGGTTAAACCTTTTTGTCCAATGAGTGCTCACCCATCATATTCGTGAATGCCAAGGTACCGTAAGAGTCTTCCATTTTCTGGTAAGGTCCTCCCACATCGGTCTATGACGCCCCTATCATCTTATGAAGCACTCTGACAGATCCACCAGTAAATGGATAGCCCAATTTTACGGTGTGTTTTCTCATTACTGAAGGACCCATCTTCATGCTAATGATGGATGGCCTTCAGAGAGTTCATCATATGAATCTCCCTATCACCTGCACTCATATTTCAGGAGAGAACAAAAGTTACACCTTAATTTAATTTAGGTCAAACCAAAGTGGCTCCCACTGACTTTCATAAAGCCAAATTTTGGTGGGCCCTAAACGGCTAGGGTTCCGCACGTATCCTTTTCAGGGGTGTGGGGCCCACCACTGAGGGAGATCATCCAATGATCTTTAGGGACACCATGGCAATGATGTGCATTCAGCCATGGTGTGCGCAAGAGCCACTATCGAATCTGCACGGGCCAAACACTTATGGCCCATGTACGTTGCACATCACACATCCATACATCACATGCAAGGATAGGATTGATCCAATCAATTAATATCTATAAAGCACATTATTAAAGCCCAATTTAAACCATAATATTACTGATTAATATTATCTAGGTATATGGGATGAATAGTAGTTAGTAGCTCGACCCATATAGCTTTTCTGTAATTAGTGGGCTTTTGAAGTTTTAACGCCTTAAAATTGGGCCTTACTGGTGTGGGCCAAATTAAGTCTCTTAATTAACCATCAATCCCTTGACCCAAAAGTGGGAAATTAGGGCTGACATCAGCCTCCATCGAACCACATATTCGGTCCAACCAGTTTGGACCAATCTGGTTCGAATGGGTCTAGGGTTTGATTTTCAATTAAAGATTTAATTCAAGAAACGATCTGAAATTAAATTTACTGATTAAAGAATCAACAAGAATTAGTCACAGGGTTGTTCGCACATCTCCAACCTGCAAAACAAATGTCAGATCACAGTTTGCAGTTTCATAAACTGCAAACTGTGATCTAATTTTCTATTAATATTACATCGGATCGAATACCTACACATTCAGTCTAAAAATTAAAAAAAAAGTTAATTACAGACCAGAATGAATAGAACTATGAAATCGCAGATTTCCTGCGCCAATCAAGATTTCGATCTCCATTTGTACGAACAACCCATAAATCAAGAAAATAAAAAAGAACAATTCTAAATAAATTCCAAATTTATAAGAATTAATTTCAGATCATTCGCCCTTTAACTGGGAACCGATTTCCTAGAAAAACCCTAATCTGCGCAAATCGGGTAGAACGCCTTCTACCCATTTGCGCAAGTTCAGATTTAGTCTATTTCGGTTCAAGATTTGAACCTGGCTCTGATACCACTGAAGGGATGAGAGATCCATCATATGGATGGCCGAACACTACAGGTAGGTTGGGCGAAATTTCAAAAATTTCTCTCTTTCTCCCATCTGGGAATCACATTCCCTATTTTAGAAAATCTGCATTTTTTATGATCAATCTTGAACCAAGAACCGAACCAGATCTGAACCAAAATAGTAGGAGAGGGATATACCTGATACGAAGAAACAATATCCTCCAATGAAGGTGTTCACGCCCAAAGAAGTCTCCAAATACTGCTCCCACTGAAGATGACACAGTGTAGGGTGGAGCAGAATCAACAGTGTTCTTCCTAAGAACCAAATCCTTCAACAAAAATTCTGGAGGTTGTGAGTACAACTTCATATCAGCCTTTCTCCAAAGACTGATATCAAGAACTATTCTTGATCGCTCCTACAAAACTGGAGATCGAACTGGCAGTAGACGACAACTGGAGGAGAACGCAGGGAGAATATGGCGCAATCACACTGTTGTTGTCTTCTCTCTGTGTGATCTGAGATCTGATCTCTGAGATGTTGGGATGGGCTAAATGGTTCGCCCCCTCCTTTTATAAACTTAAAGAGATCAGCTCCTAATCCCATTAGGAGTTTCCTGATTCAAATCCTTATTTGAATCTAGACTCTCTTTAAGTGATAAGGATAAATCATTATCTTATCTGTAGATTAGATCAACTCTCCCCTAATCTCATTAGGAGGTTTCTAAATCCAAATTCAGATCTTGACTCTTTGAGTAGATAGGGATAACTCCCTATCCTATCTGCTGATCCAATCCCAGATCCACCCCTCTCTTTAATTAGTCAAACTAAACCAGTTCAAAATGGGCTTTAGGTCCAATAAGTCTATATGCTCATTAACCTTCCAAACCACTGCCCAGTTGGGCTTCTTTGTATAGCGTGGGACCCAAACATTGATCTACACATCAGCCACATGGGTTCAGCCTAGCCTCTGCTTTAAGGCTTGGCCGAATTCACTGAAAGGACAGTAAACCCCTTGAAGCCCATCACATGGACTCCTAATGGGCCCAACACTTACACTAAGTGGTCCCTGGGCCAAACAACCTTATAAAAACCCAGGGACTGTGGGCAGATGCAAGATTAGCCCATCAGGTATTACCCTCAATGGTCTTACACTTAACCTCTCAGCCCATAATGATCAAACACTGCCCGAGAAGAGAGGACCTCTCCCTCGGCTGCAAGGAACAGTGTTGCACTCTCTACTCACAT